CAGGCCTGCAATTTCATTACTGCTTTTTAAAGAAACTTTCTCTCAGGCTAACAGACTTTCTAGGGAGGCCAAACCAAGTGAAGCTGAGTTTAATGTTCTCATTAAAATGTTAAAGAGGCTTTATTCATGAACGACTGAAGCTGTAATTGCTTTATCCTTGTAAACTATGAAAATAATGTGGTGATCTCTTACAGAGGCATTCACCCAGTCCCCTCTGTCAGGAAGGTCTGTTTAATGAAAGGCTTGGGTGGATTGAGGGACTGACAAGTAGGTGATCTAGATTGTATCTTGCAGGGATGTGGAAGTGGTTGAAGGAGTACCCCTTGATTGATCCATTTTCGTTCTGTAGCCCTTGTTTTGTTTGTACTGTTTGAGTACTTGATCTTGAGTTCTGCTTTGAAATCATGAAAGATGAGACACAAATATAAACACACATGCACGCAAATGTGGGGAGGTAGTTTTTTTTAACCTTTCTATAAATAGTAGCTTACTGAAATGATAATAGGAGAAATCCAAAGATTTGAGGTGCTAGTGAAACTGAACAGGGAATTGATCTGGAAAATACACCACGTGGCTCCAAGCAGGAGAGGGCACTCTGAACTGGCTTTGGGTGGTAACGGATTACCCCCACCTGCTTTGCCGTCCTTAACACCCAGTGCAAAAACATAGCTGTAGAACGTGAGGTAGTGAATGCAGATGACCAATGCAACTATTTTTTCTTCCTCATATTACTTATAATGATAAGTATAGATGAGACTGAAATAATAGTGCTGTGGTTCTAATATAGCTAGGCAACTGTGAGGCTGGAAATCTCACAGTGAAATTTAGGGGCAAAAGAACTAGAATATGCCATCTTTTCTTCAGTTCCTTATTATTAGAAAACCCTGTTTGTTTAATAGTAACATATCTAGGTCTCATGATATACAGATGTAGTAATGTAAGCAATATCTAGGCATTTTTAAAAATATTTTCTTCTTTTTCCATCAGTGGGTCATTTAAATGTGGGTCAAACTTAAATTAAAATACATGTGTCCTAGAGCTGTCACAGCGTTTTCTTCAAGAGGTCACACCCTCCTTTCAGATGTGAGTGCAGGTATCTGTTTAAGCTGATTCAAGCCTGAAAGGGTGACAGAGGTGAGCGGTAGCAACAGAGGCTTTTTCTATAGGGTTGTTGGATAGGTTTTTGAAGAGTTCTGGAGGGGTAACCATCTCAACCTAAGGATATGTTCATAATGTTAATGTTATAAAGAACCTCTCATAGTTTTTAACATGAAGAAAATGAATTCTAATTTTCTGAACACTGTTGATGACATATAATAAAATACATTTTCTAAATTATTAAGAGATTCAGAGCAAGATATAACAAATGACCACTGCTGGCTAGGCCTGCTCTGCCTCTAACTTGTTTGACTGATACGGAGTGATTTGTACTCCCTGCTCCAGGGAGCTGCTAACCTGGTTCCTGATTCCTGCCTGAGGTGACTCCAGAGAGGTGAGGACTCCTCAGGTTCTATTTAGGTACAGCTCAACTTGTCATGACTCCACATCCCATTATCCCATTGAGGGTTATAACTCCTTTTCCAGTCTACAGAATGAAGCCAAGTCTAGAATTTTCTTGACTTCCCTAGGGAAACGTGGTGGGCTGTGAGCAGGTCCTCACTCCCTCATGTGTGTGACTCAGAAAGTGTGGAAGAAGTGTAAGAGTGTGATGAGACCATCAGTAACACAGGGGTATGTATGAAGTATGGGAATGAATGGATGGGTTGGCTGATTTATCCAACAACTGTACTTTTTACAACTTTTGTATGCTTTTTAGAGTTTTTCTGTTTGCTCATTTGCTGTTAGAATATTAATTGTCACATCTGACTACTCAATGTCTGCCCAGTCAGCCCCTCTTCCCATTCCAGTTCTTGGAGGTGAGTTGTACCCAAGACCCTATGTTGTCCTTATGATTAGGTGACAATGCCAAAAGGCTAGGGGAAATTTTCAAAGAGCATTAGTGTGTGATAGTATTTACTTCAAGCTACTCAAGTCTGCTGTGTCTTAGGCTTACAATGATTGGCCAGTTGATTGTTTGGTTAATTAACTCATCATTCATCAAATATTTTGGGAGCATATACTATGTGCCAAGGACATATACTACATCTAGGGGCTGGGATAAAAGATTTGCCTACAAAGTTTGCTGATAGTTGACGGGTTGAAAATCGAGTGAAATGTCTCAGGAAAACCAAATTGCTTTTCTGCAATTCAAGGAGTATGTGCCAGATTGCTGTATCATAGCCTCCTCTATGGACTTCTCTATAAGTGCATTTCATGTGTGAAGTGGTACCAGACATTTTCTGTATTATAATAATCTTCATATATTTATTAAGCTATAACTTGTAAGGCTTCCTCATGAGGCATTAAATGAGCCCTTTTGTGTGCTGCATTGTATCTTTGTCAAGAAGCACTTCGTTAACTCCAACCTGTGTCATTCACCTGCCTTGGGCTGGTAATGAGGCACATTTCAGTCATTCTGGGAGGGTCTGGGGATCTGCACAAATTATTGGGTTGGCTTCATGGTGGGTTGGAGGGAATGCACTTAGGGAAAACCAGGGATGAAATGAAACCCTTTTACCTTGTATATTTTACATCTTGTACCTATTCAGCACAGCAGCTGAATATTCCAGAATTGTTCTGCATTTTTAAAAATGCTAAGAAAATGCTAGCTTCCTACATTTCCAAGGTATTTATTTCTTCTCAACTGTTAATCTGACAGCAGGTTAGGAGATTCTGAGAAGTCCAGGGATGACAGTGGAGCAGTAGAAGAGTCCAGCAATTCTCTTGTCATTTCTAAGCTCTGTTCTTGGGAGAACTGGCTGCGTACTCATAAGAGAGGTCCGACTCTAGGATAGGAAAGAGAGCATGGAACGGGAGAAGAGACATATGGGATATTAGTGGAGAGAAGGGAATAAAAGATTAAGGAAAAAAAGTAGAAAGAGATTCAGTTGTCCTTTTTCTCTCTTTTATCTCCTTGTCCCAAAAGGAGGTTGTGAAAAAGCAGGCAGACTGAAAAGGAAAAGAAGAGAGTTGAATTAGAGATTGGAGGGTACTTGGAGGTAGTAAGGGAGAAGGAAAATGAGTCAGAGAAATCACAAGAGTAAGTGAGGGGAAGGAGGCCAGTTAAGAACTATTTAAATGCAGGAAGTAGAGACAGGCGCAGAGAGGGGTGTGCACACCATGCTCACACTGAAGCCCTCAGTTGCTCCCAGCTTTGCACCTTCCAAATAGCCAGGGTCCCTGCCCCAGCACATTCTCCTTGTATATTTATGGTGATTTTCTTTATGGTCTCTGTATTGCTGGTTGCAGTTTCAGTGACACTTTCTGTGATCAAATAGCAAATGTGGTGGAGGCACAGTTCTGGTTGCCCTGCCTCCTTGCAACATTCAGCAGACTTCTCAGTCAGTGCTTCTTGCATTTGGTATTTGCTATTCCTCTTTGTCTACAGATAGCAGAGTTGAAAGCGAAAAAATGTTCCTAAGGGCTGCCAGATTTGTAGCTCATGCATACAAATATTCGGAGCAGTTGAAAAAAAAACTATAAAATCACACTCCAGTATTTTTTCTAACTAAGGTAGTTGACTCCTTCATTGCTGGCCTGGGTACTTCCCCTAACCCAACACCACACTCACTCTGCCTATAGGTGGGCTGCTTCTTGGTAAAACTTTCTTCTTTTCTTGAAGTTCAATTCAGGAAGCCTTCTCAGCACTGCTCCAGGTCTGGGTCAGGTGCTTTCTGAGTGTGCACCAGTGTTCTCCTCTGCATGCCAACTTCCTGTGCTGACATTGCCTTACTAGAGCCACCATTCCATGTTGTAATTTCCTACCATTCCACTAGACTTGAGCTCTTTACATACATGATGGCCATTATGGAGCATCTAAGTAGATGTTCACTAACTAGTTATGGAATGAATGAATAGCCTATGATATTTTTGAGTACAAAACAGAATTCTTCTAGAACCAGCTATGCTTTTTAATATCAGTTTACATTAGCCTACATGTCCTGGAAAAGAAATGTTGACTTGGCTAGCAGTAGATTTCTGGGAAAACTAGTAGGACCCCAGATTCATGCGACCATATTAAAGGGATTATGATTCTTTTTTAACTCTTGGATACACTAGAGGGTGGTCTTGGAGTTTCACGCAGCTTATTCCTTGTGATTGTAGTACTTTAGGCCAGATGCAAAGGCATTTCAAAACCATCTTTCTCAGACCTTAATGTGAATAGGAATCACCCAAGGATCTTGTTAAAATTCAGATTCTGTTTCAGTAGGTCTCAGATGGGTTCTCAGATTTGGCATTTAAGGCTCCTTTGTGATGCCAAAGTTGCTGGTCCATGGACCCGACTTGAATAACAAGGCTTTAAAGTACTTCCTAAAAAGTCAAGTTGAGATTTACTCTATGAAAATATCTACATGCATTTTTATAGTTTTCAGCACAACACATTTTCTGAAAGAAGACTTCTAAGTTTCTAACTCTTATTTCAACTTAGAAATTTGCAAGAAGTCTTTCCCTTTATTTACTTAAAAATAGTAATCCTATATTGATCAGCCCCCAAAAATGCTTTGGAAAGATACTTTTGGTTATAGTGCCCTTACTTAATATACAGCACCATTTATTTAGGCTTCCTCAGATTTGGAGGCCCTGGTTCTACTCTTGTGCTGTGCTTGATGTCACTACTTTGTCAACCAGGACTACTTTTAAAGCAAAAATATTCTTTGAAAGATTGACAGTTCAAGGGCTGTGTTTATGATGAGACCGTCACATTTATTGATTGTTCCCAGGTTAGCACCATGCAAAGACCTTCTCCAAGGGCAGTCGATTAGAATGACTGGAAATAGGATAGGGCAATGTTTAACTTGAACTTTGCAAGTGAAACCTTGCATCTTGCTTACATATGTTCAAACAGCTCTTTGAATTTGATGTTTGAAGTTTTTTCTAACAAGATGACCTTTATTTTACAGGTCCTTTGCAGCCAGCATGATATCATATTTATAACACATGGAGGAGAGGGAGCTCACTGTGTTCAGGTAAAGGGATGGAGGTCATGCACAGCCAGTGACGAGCAGGCCTAACAGCCACTGTTTGTCCCTGTGTGAGAAGTGATTCAGCTGAATTATACCCCTGACATCATGCCCTTTGCGTGTTTCCCTCACTTACGCCTGAGGTGCAGAACGCCTCCCACAGGTGATCTCAGTGAACTAGCGTGCATTCACGGAGCATCTGCAAGTACCTGCCACAGGGCCTCTGTAAACAACCAGTAAGGAAACAGGGCTTGTCACCTGAAATCTCTTTGTATCCAGAGTTTAAGTTAGAATTATTACTAGTACTGTTCATCTATATTACCTTATCAGAAGGCTTTTATCTTTTCGACATTTGTGTAAATATGTGAATACTGAAACTCTTCAAAATAAAGTCTTATCTCTGTCCCCTTATCTAAAGTAGCTGTTCTAAATGTTCTTTGAATTTTCTTTTTAAATAAATGCATCTCCCACAACTTTAAATTGCCCATATAGGCCACCAAGATTAATTTTCCATTAACCTTTATTGCTTCTGTTTCTTTCTAATCACCTTTTTAGAGGATTAAACAGCCCCCATTGGGTCCGCTCTATATAGGATATAAACTAGCTTTTTTTTTGATAGCCTTTATGGAACAGATGTAGAACGTAGTGAGTGATCTGTGGTCCAGTGACTAAACCTGGCCCCATTAACTGAGTCAAAGTATCTGTAGATAGAACCACACAAATTCTGTTGACCAGGACAGTTTTGTCATTGGCCTCGCTTCTTTTGTGACCCAATCTGTATTAGTTTCCTCTGCTGGTTCTAACACAGTGTCATAAACTGGGTGGCTAAAACAACTGACACTTACCATCTTAGGATGCTGGAAGCTACAAGTCTGAAATCAAGCTGTCAGCAGGGCTGGTTACCTCTGAGACTTGTGAGGGAGAATCTGTTCCATGCCTTTCTCCTAGCTTCTGGCAGTGTCAGGGATTTCTGGAGTGTAGATGGCCATCTTCTTCCTGTATTTTCACTTTGTCTTCCTTCTATGCCTGTCTATTTCTGTGTTCAAATTTCCCCTTTTCCTAAGGAAACCTATCATATTGGATTAGTGACCACTTAAATGACTCATTATAATTTGACTGGCTGCAAAGATTCTACTCCTATGTAAGGTCACATTTACATATACAAGAAATAAGGACATCGATATCATTTTGGAGCATACATTTCAACCCATAACACTATCTAAGAGAAGGAAACTTAGTTTCTTTTTTATCTTCTAAAGAAACTAGCACAGTGCCTATTGTTAGGAATGGTTGAATGGATGAATGGAAAAGAACAGAATGGCCATGGTCAAATTTAATTTGAAAAAACAAAGTGCAGTGACCACAGGTTGGCAGGTATTATGCTAACCTCTTGTCCAGTGACCTTGTATTTTCAGGGTAGTTAATTAACCAACATTGTACATGTAATAAGTTTTTTCCTTTAAAAGTAATAGCAAGTTGAATGTTTATAAAATACAGCCCTCTGTGGGAGCAAGTCACACTTCCTCTGTTAACATCACAGGCTGAACTGCCAATTTACATGCTGCCTCTATCAGTACATCAAAATATCTTTCCAGCTAATTCAGTACCATTTAAATCATACTTAGTCAGGCTATTCTTTCTTTCCAACTACATTGCTTTGCACTTATTAAATTTAACGTTCTTTTCTCTAGCACTAACCTATAGATTCTGTCCTGAACCAATCTGCTCTAGTTGTGTCTTCTCTTATCTCTATGCTTCCGAGTTAGCTCAGAATTCTTAGGAGCTATCTTCTGAGTATTTAGATTTGGATGTTGATAAATATGAAGATACTATCTCAAAGTACCACTTAAAGGATCCATTCTTTCGACATGTGTATTTAGAAGACCCTTATTTCCTGTAAGGGTAGAGCTTTCTGGACATGGACTGTTTCTTCTAGGACAGGATTACCTTTTTATACCAAAAAGAAGCCACCTACTGAGTGAAGTCAAAGGCCAGTGGTGGGTTTCCTCCTGGGAGTGAAATAAGCATCTTTAGAAATCTTGTGAATTCTTTGCAGCCCCTGGGTTAGAGCAGCAGGTAGGCAGGCCAAGGTCTAGGTCCTGACATTGTGGCTCAGGCCCTGGCCTCCCCAAGGCTGCGCAGCAGGAGGGCTGGGATAACTTACATACAGGCTTTTCAACCCCTGAGAAGCTTTTCTGTTCCCAGTGGTGGGGCTGCAGATTGTCCCATGGCCAAGTGATAACATTGACTAGACAGCTCTGGATTTATAAGATGATGACAGACAGTAGCAAATGAAAATGAAAATAAAAATTCATTTTAGCATTTTTCACACTAGCATTAGTCCTAAGAAAATTGGTAAATCAAATAACAAATATTTATGGTGTATGAGATGCATGCCAACACGGTTCCACCAAATGCCATGTATGGAAGTATAACTTCATCTTGGTGCCTCCACTGCTTACTTTTCTTTTCTGTTTTGCTCAAGAGCTTTCTTCCCTCGATTAGAGGCCTTCTGTACCTTACCCTGTGTGTGAATCTCCTTGTTTGGTTTATGAAAATGTCTTCAGGGCTTCATTGAAATTCATTTGCAAATTCATAAAACAATTTATTTGTACTGGTCACACAATAACCAAATCAGAGTGATGGTGGAATAGCCCTTAGACAATTACATGTAGAGTTTGGTTAGCATTTGCATTCTGGCCATTAAACTGTCCTTAAAAATTGCTAAGTATTCTAAATTATGCATTATTACAATTATAGCATTCTAATAAATCTTATTTTAATAACTAGGTTATTTTATGTATACCTAATACTTTTCTACTATTAAAGAGAAAATAAAGCAGAAATAAGACCTTTTAATTTTTTTGAAAACTAAAAACTAATTTATTATTTCTTAGTCTTTTCCCCTTTCCATTTTCTTTCTCCAGTTTCACTAATCTTAGATGTTTGAAAATTCTGATGTGAGAGCTCATGGAATTGATAATAATATATTCATTATTAAACTCTGATTTTATAAAAAAGAAAATGATTTTATGTTCTTTTATTTAGTAATTAACATGGTAGGTTTTTTTAGTCCTCTAAAATTAGAATATATTTATGATATATGAGAAATATTTTAATTAAAGAAATTATACTTTGAATCAAGACTCCATCAGACTTTCTCAGAAATTGTTTGTACATTGGTAAGTTAAAATGTGAATCTTAGTGTTTGTTCTCTCTGGGTCCTTCTGCCTCTATTTCCTGATGATCCTTCTTTGTTTCTTTTAAATTAATGAGTTTATATTCAGTGCTTTCAGGTGATAATATGAAAGTAAAGAAGAAATGCAATAGGTTTCTGGCAGAGACCTCAGATGCTTGGAATTCTCTGCTCTCTTTTGCTTCCCCTATATTTAGTTATCACTAAACTCTGTCAAGTTTTCATAATTCTTTCATATTTTTACTAAACTTTTCACTTATGACTATCCTTTTCCAGGCTTTTCTTTCTTCCTTCTTTTGTTTATATATAGGACCATTTAGCTTGTTCATTTCCTCATTCATTCATGTATTGTCCTTCTCACATGTGCTAAGATTGCTCTGGAATAACATCAAGGGTGTTCTAATACAATAGGTGGGAGATGATTATGCAAAAATTGTTGCTGTGATGGAGCTATATACTAAATATCTATTACACATAGGAAAAAGAGCAGCTAAACTGGGTTAAGGGAGTGAGGAAATGCTTCATAGAGAAAATGGTATTTGAGTGGAGATGAAGAAGTAGAACATCGCCATATGGACCAGTGTGGTGGAGAGAGAATATCCCAAAGGAGACAGTGTGGGAAGCTTGCCAGGGGGTACAAGGGAGCAGGGTGTGCTTATGTAGTCCTTGCGGTTTAGGTATTTGCTGGAGCGTGAAGTGGAAAGGAGGATGTGGGGCCAGAGGAGGCAAGAATCATATCTTGAAGGTCTCCTTACCTAGTGCTGAGCCTTCCTTTCTACCTCATATCTACAGACTGCACACTGCAAGGAGGCTGGCTGTGGTAAAGGCGTGCTTGTCTTCTGCCCAACTCCTCCCAGTCTCATTGCTTCTGGAGGGAAGTCAGGCCTTCCTAATCTGGTGCTTGAAGATCTCAGCCTGTCCTCTTTTATTTACTCTGTAAATCATTTATTTAAACTACATTTACCTCATTGCTTCTCACACACAGTTTGTTCATTCCTCCTCTTAGCTTCCATTTTCGAAGTTCTCTCATCCTTTAAGATCTTCCTCAAATACGTTTCCTTTAGGAAACTTTTCTCCACTCCTCATTAATTTTACCCCTTCTGAACTCCAGGAGAATTTTCAGCAGACTCTCACATGACAGTTTTCACATGCTTCTTTCTCTCACAAGTGAATCTGTGACACTCTGAGGATCAGAGGACCACCGCAGAAGGGAAGGACTGCATTCCTATTATGTGTCCTGTTGATGCCGAAAAGGCAGCTCTTTGCATCGGGTAGATGCTGCATTGATGTTTGTTAACAGAACGGAGGAAACAGAGTTCCTTTAATGTGTTATACTGTTACAGAGGTGGAACTGAGGGATCAATTAATTGTCATATGGAAGAGGCAATGGTAAATGTAATGTCCAGCTGAAATTCTTGCAGGGCAGAATAATTGCTGGTGAAGGCAGAAGGATGACATTAAACAAAAAGCAGGGATATGTACAGAAAAGAGGTCCACTTTGAAAACCAGTTAAACAACCCTGAGGCTTAGACATGGGGAGAAGAAACTTAGAAAGTCATGACTGGTCTTGACAGTGAGTGACAAATGATATATCAGGTAAAAGCACCTATATTGCATTAAGATGCTCTGCATCTTTGTATGAGATGGCTTCTGGAAAACTTGATTCAATTTAAGACCTTTCAGTTGCAGATCTGGAGACAATCACAAATTCAGAAATATATTTATGAAAGTCTGTTGCCACTGAGCTCTAAAGACCATAATCCTATTATTTGTGATTTTGAAAAGGGTAAACATGAATAACTGAAAGGAG